GGTGACGAGAGAGGAGGTCCTAAAACTGATAGACAACTTAAAAACTGAAAAATCACCAGGCCCAGATGGCATACATCCGAGAGTTCTGAAAGAACTCAAATGTGAACTTGTAGATCTCCTGACAAAGATATGTAATCTTTCCTTAAAATCTGCCTCCATTCCTGAGGATTGGAAGGTAGCTAATGTCACTCCCATCTTTAAAAAGGGTTCCAGAGGAGATCCGGGAAATTACAGGCCAGTCAGTCTGACGTCGATACCGGGTAAATTGGTGGAAACCATTATTAAGGAAAGAATTAGTAGGCACATAGATGAACAAAACCTATTGAGGCAGACTCAGCACGGTTTCTGTAAGGGAAGATCTTGTCTCACTAACCTGTTAGTGTTCTTTGAGGGGGTGAACAAACATGTGGACAAGGGGGATCCAATAGATATTATTTACCTTGACTTCCAGAAAGCTTTTGATAAAGTTCCTCATCAAAGGCTCCTAAGTAAGCTCAAAAATCATGGGATAGAAGGACAAGTCCTTTTATGGATCAAAAACTGGCTAGTTCATAGAAAACAGAGAGTGAGTGTAGGTGGGCAATTTTCTCAGTGGAGGGTGGTAAGCAGTGGGGTACCGCAGGGATCAGTACTTGGTCCACTGCTTTTTAACTTGTTCATTAATGATTTGGAGATGGGAGTAAGCAGTGAAGTGGCTAAATTTGCGGATGATACAAAGTTGTTCAGGGTGGTGAAAACCAGTGAGGATTGTGAGGCACTCCAAGGGGATCTGTCAAGGATGGGCGAGTGGGCGTCAACATGGCAAATGGGGTTCAATGTGGCCAAGTGCAAGGTGATGCACATTGGAGCCAAAAATCCTAAATATAAATACACATTGATGGGGTCTGAACTGGCAGAGACTGAGCAAGAGAGAGATCTTGGAGTTGTAGTGGATAACTCACTGAAAATGTCGAGACAGTGTGTGACTGCAATAAAGAAGGCCAATGCTATGCTGGGGATTATTAGGAAGGGTATTGAAAACAGATCAGCCAATATAATAATGCCCCTATATAAATCAATGGTGAGACCTCATTTGGAATACTGTGTGCAGTTCTGGGCACCACACCTTAAAAAGGATATTATAGCTTTGGAAAAAGTGCAGAAAAGGGCAACTCGAATGATAAAAGGGTTGGAACACTTTCCCTATGAGGAAAGGTTAAAGCGCTTAGGGCTCTTTAGCTTGGAGAAAAGACGACTGAGGGGTGACATGATCGAGGTTTATAAGATTATGCATGGGAAAGAGCAGGTAAAGAAAGAGGTACTTTTCTCCCTTTCTCACAATACAAGAACTCGTGGGCACTCCATGAAACTGCAGAGCGGTCGGGTTAGAACGGATAAAAGGAAGTACTTCTTCACCCAAAGAGTGATTAACACATGGAATTCACTGCCACAGGAAGTGGTGGGTGCTACAAGCATGGACGGCTTCAAAAGGGAATTAGATAAGCATATGGAGCAGAGGTCCATCAGTGGCTATTAGCCACAAGGTATAGCTAGGGGCTCTGGGGCAAGTGATGCTCTGTCTTCTTGGTGCTTGGGGGGGGGGTCAACAGTGGGAGGGCTTCTAATGTCCTGGCCCCACTGCTGGACCTAGGACGTCCTTCTTCACCCAAAGAGTGATTAACACTTGGAATTCACTGCCACAGGAAGTGGTGGGTGCTACAAGCATGGATGGCTTCAAAAGGGAATTAGATAAGCATATGGAGCAGAGGTCCATCAGTGGCTATTAGCCACAAGGTATAGCTAGGGGCTCTGGGGCAAGTGATGCTCTGTCTTCTTGGTGCTTGGGGGGGTCAACAGTGGGAGGGCTTCTAATGTCCTGGCCCCACTGCTGGACCTCCTGATGGCACTGGTATTTCTGGCCACTGTGTGACACAGAGTGTTGGACTGGATGGGCCTTTGGCCTGATCCAACATTGGCGTCTCTTATGTTCTTATGTTCTAACCCACCCACCAAAGCAGCTATTTTCTCCAGGAGAAGCAGAATAATTTTTTTTAATAAATAATAAATTTTAAAGGGGGATTTATGTCGTCTGAAGATCTGTTGTGATTCCGGGAGGTCTCCAGCCCCCACCTGGAGGTTGGCAACTCTATTTTGTCCATAGCCTTTTTGGAGGTCAAACAGGGACCCCCCCTCTCCTCCTGTTTCACCAGCAGAGAAGCTGGCAGGACCCCACCCATCGTGTCCCTTGGCTCCAAAGTTTTCAGCCATGCAGATGTCTTTCAATAACTTGCAGGGCCAAACATTTGAGTAACAGAGTCCTTGCCAGGAGCGTATTAAAAAAAGGCAGACCTCTCCAAGGCTCCAAGTGTGACAGTTTAAAAACAAACAAAAGGCACCACCTGCTGGCAGAAGGAACGTTCCCATTTTCCATCCCGTGTGGGGTAGGAAACACTCCCTTAGTCGTGCCTAACACCCTAAGCGCGGTCAGATTGCAGACACATCAGTCCTTTTGGTACACGCTGGGTTCGTAAAAGATCCATTGCTGCTGACTTTCAGCGTGCCATTGTTAGAAGACAGACGGCAGGCATTTCACCCAGAATGGCACACAGCATCTGATGGGAGAGAAAATATTTTGTTCCGGGCCACGAGTCCCTGCTCAGTACCTTCACTTCTGAAACACTGTGTGTGTGTGTGTGTGTGTGTTCAAGTCAGCACTGACTCATGGCAGCCTCAGCAAGGGGCTTTCAAGACAAGTGTGAAGCAGAGGTGGTTCACCATTGCTTTCATCTGCAGAATCTTCCTTCCTGGTGTCCCCCTCCAGGTACTGACCTTGCTTAGCTTCCAGGGTCTAATGGGATTCTAGGCTTGTCAGGTTCCTCCTCCCTGCCACCGGCGGGTGTGGGTGTGTGTGTGTTAGGGCTGCCAGATCCAAGGTGGGAAACTCCTGGAGATTTGGGACCTCAGTGGGATACAATGCCATAGAGTCCACCCTCCAAAGAGAGAGCCAGTTTGGTGTAGTGGTTAGGAGTGTGGGCTCTAATCCGGGAGAACTGAGTTTGATTCCCCACTCCTCCACATGCAGCTGCTGGTGTCACCTTGGGTCAGTCACAAGTCCTTTCAGAGCTGTTCTCTCACAAGCAGTTCTCGAGAGAGCTCTCTCAGCCCCACCTACCTCACGGGTAGTGTTCCCTCTAAGCGGAGTTAGTGTGAGCTAGCTCACAGTTTTTTTAGCCTCCGGCTCACACATTTTTGTCTTAGCTCAGGAAGGATGGCTCCAGAGAAAACGATTTATGCAGTAGCTAAATTGCTCGCTCACAGCTTTAATGCCAGCAGCTCACAAGACTCCACAGCTTAGAGGGAGCATTGCTCACAGGGTGTCTGTTGTGGGGAGGGGAAGGGAAATGAGACTGTAAGCTGCTCTGAGACTCCTTCAGGTAGTGAAGAGCGGGGTATAAATCCAATTTCCTTCCCCCCTTCCTCCTCCTCTTCTTCACAGCTGTTTTCTCTGGGGGAACTTATCTCTGCAGAATGGAGATGGGCTGGAATTCCAGGGGGTCCCACCTAGAGGCTGGCATCCCTACGATTCCCTCCTGCCTCCCCTCCCCTCCTGAAACTTTACAGTTCTCTTTTCTCTACTGCTGCCCCTTCTCTCTGGAGTTCCAGCTATGTGGTGCCACTCCTCTTCCAAACCCATCTTGGCCCCCCCCTTCCCCTGAAGACTTCAACTCAGCCTCCTGATCCCCATTCCCTGACTGAAGCAGAAACCCCATTACGAGCAACTCAGTCAGTCACCCTAGTGCCTCTCCCTTCTGTTGAAGTTTCCACTGTAGGCTCCTTGGGGCAGGAGCCTATCTTCTGATGCCTCATTCTACAGAATTCCCCATGTCCCCTGATGAAGCCGTGCTCGGTTAACAGAGGCAGGCAACGTCCCGGGGAAATGACACATGCACCGGTAGCCCGTCAACATTCCCTGTGTTCAGCAGTTTCAGCTCGTCGCAAGCCTTGCTCCATCTAAAATTAAAGATTCATTGATTATATATTAATCACATATAGCTTAAGATGCAACTTTTGTGTGGAGCTGTTCTCCACACAAGGGCTGAATGATTTCCATGCTGAATGATTTCCATGCATTATCAAAACACCCACAAAAGTCTCTCACTGCAGGAAATAGTCATGATGAGACCAATGATCTGGATTAGGGGTACTGTTGATCTTGTGGGCACATCTGCATTTTTGAGGATAAGCCGTGGGCAGTGTTCCCTCTAAGCTGAATTAGTGTGAGCTAGCTCACCATTTCTTAGCCTCCGGCTCACACATCTTTTGTCTTAGCTCAGGAAGGATGGCTCCAGAGCAATGTTCCCTCTAAGCTGTGGAGTCTTGTGAGCAAAAATTCTACTTTGTGAGCGACTGCCATTAAAGTTGTGAGCGAGCGATTTGGCTGCTGCAGAAATTAGTTTGCTCTGGAGCCATCCTTCCTAAGACAAAAATGTGCAAGCCAGAGGCTAAAAACCTGTGAGCTAGCTCACACTAACTCAGCTTAGAGGGAACACTGCTCCAGAGCAAACTAATTTCTGCAGTATCCAAATCGCTCGCTCGCAACTTTAATGCCAGTAGCTCACAAAGAAGATTTTTTGCTCACAAGACTCCACAGCTTAGAGGGAACACTGGCCGTGGGTACCACCACAAAATGGCTGTCATGGTGGGGGACACAAAATGGCTGCCGTGAGGTCTGGAACTGCCCAGAGAATGTTGGGAGGTTGCAAGCCAAGCATCCTTCTATGATGCAGGCAGCTGTTTCTGAATGGGTGCTTCTTGCGGATGAAAGGGCAATCACGCCCGGTTCTTCTGTGGCATCGCTTAATGCAATAAGGTAGAGGAAATCCAGGCTTGGCTCTTTGTTTCGTGGTAAATCCACTAGTGGACACCACACTGGGGATCACTGCTCTAGAGCAAAGTAAAAAAGGGGGGTGAGATGGGATGTTCGAACAACGTGGTATTGACCTCTTTCTTGTTTTACATAGGTGATCTGTGGACAAGACGAAGCGACAGACGAGGAGGAGGAAGAGAGCGGAAAACCATCCAAAGAGCAACAACGGTCCCGGCTACAGAAGAAAAAAGGCCAGCTCTCCTTGAAGTCTACAGCACCCCAATCTCACTTTCAGAACACAACTCTGCTGGAGTTGGCCTCCACCAACCCACAAGAATTCTGGGACATCTTAGATAGCCTGTCCAAACAGGATCAAGCCGGGCAACCCCGAAGCCGAAGGGACTCTGTCGGCAACTCCGGTCGACTTAAGAAGATATTTGGCTGGGGCGACTTCTACTCTAACATCAAGACGGTCAAGCTGAACCTCTTGATTACAGGGAAAGTGGTTGACCATGGAAATGGCACCGTAAACGTGTTCTTCAGGCACAACTCCACTGGACATGGGAATATCTCTGTCAGCCTAGTGCCACCCAACAAAGCAGTGGAGTTTGACCTCGAGCAGCAAATCTTCATTGAGGCAAAAGAATCCAAGATCTTCAACTGCCGGGTGGAATACGAGAAAGTGGACAAGGCAAAGAAGACCACCCTCTGCACCTATGACCCTTCCAAAACCTGCTTCCTCAATCACACGCAAAGCCAAGTCTCCTGGGTTTGCTCCAAGCCATTCAAGGTCATCTGTATCTACATAACCTTCTACAGCATAGACTACAGGCTTGTCCAGAAAGTGTGTCCAGACTACAATTACCACAGCAATGTTCCTTATTACCCCTCTGGGTGACAACATACCTCTCCGGTCTCTGAAGTAGCCCAAAGTCCACCTCAGTGTGAGGCTTGGGTCGAGAAACACAACAGTGCACAGGGAGACGGACAAGAGACGCCTCTCTGTTGGTGGACAAACCAAGAAGCACCTGGTCTCTGCTGAAGACAATCGGTTCAAGAAGAGTTTGAGAGAAAGAGAGCAAACATACCGTCTTTGAATCCATTTGCCCAAAATTTCTTTTGGAGGGTGGGGTGGGGTAGGGGTTGCATTTGGAGCAAGACCAAGGTATTTAGGTGCTCTAGAAAAACGATACGGTGCTCTTCTCCCCCAACATCCATTAAAATCAATATGGAGCAAAAACCAACCATGATTTTCTCATGTGCAGACCTCAATGGAGTGTCCACAGGAGAACTTCTTGGTGGGTTGTGCCTTTTGGGTCAGATCCAGCAGTCACATTTAATGACATCTATAATCCATTGACAGAGGCGTCACCTTGCATTATGGTAGAGCCCCTGGAATCTTTGATCTGTTTTGAAAAACACAACAAAATGGAATTCTTAGGGGGTCCCAAGGGCCACCACCCGATTGTCACTTGCATGAGCTGCTCTCCCCAAAACAAAAGGTGGAGAACCTCCATCTCCGGCCATGATGGTTCCTTCACTCCCATTCAGTTGGGTCATTCCCTAACCCAACTTGGTCCGCTCCCATTTTGGCGAGCTCCTAGCAGCATCCCAGGGGGGGTAGCAAAGCCAGTATCACGGACATGGACAAAATGCATCTTATTTCTACCGTACCTTGAACAAGCACCAGGGTATCAAAGTAGGGAGAACCACTGAAAGTGACTGCAATCTGACCCACTTCAAATAAAATACCAGGACTTTTGCCCAAAATATTAAATAATTGCAGAAGAACTGGTTGGATGTACATTATCCTGGCAAGGCAGAGATACACTGGGGGGGTGGGGGGGCAAGGATCTAAACCAGCAGAAATGCGTTTGGGGACATCTAACTCAGCTCTGTCTCTGTGGGGCAAGGGGAACCATGGAGCCAGCCTTCACAATAATGGGGAAAGAACGGCATCCCAGTACCTGCCTCCGCCTCATCATATGGTACCAGCGCTTAGCAGAAGTTGTTAGAAGAGGCATTCCTCCTGGCAGATGCAGGCTGCACACTGATATGTGGAAACGTCACGGCAGGAATCATCTTAGATGAGGCATTTCCAGCTCTGTGTGAGTGGGAATGCCTCTCCTTAAGAGAGATTCAGGTGGGTAGACGTGTTGGTCTGAAGCAATGGAATGAAGTTGGAGTCCAGTGGCCCCTTTGTGACCAACAAAGTTTAATTCTGGGTATGAGCTTTTGTGTGCATGCACACAAAAGCTCATACCCAGAATTAAACTTTGTTGGTCACAAAGGGGCCACTGGACTCAAACGTTGTCCTCTGCTCCTTAAGAGAGGGCCTGTTGTCCAGCCTCTAGCTGGGAGGTTGTTTTCATCAGTGCTTGTATTTAAAAAGAAAAAGAAAGCTTGCCGGATTTGGGGATGTTTCATTGAACAAAAGGGTTTTTAATCTGTGGATCTAGCCAACAGACTAAATGTCACCGCTGTATAAAATTGCCTATTCAAACAGGAGACGCTATGCTAACGATGTATTACAATCCTACCCGTTTGTTTAATGCTAGCAAACCCAAATGCAATGGCCAGTATCCTAACCACTCCTTCCAGCCAGGTTTAAAAAGTCTTCCGCCAACCTAAGGAGACTTCCTCCAACGGAAGAGTCTCAAGAGGAAGGGAACGGCACAGCTATCGGGAATATACCTCTCTGCATGTCCAGACTTGGCCAGACAGGTGGCACAAAAGGCAGCATCTTCTGATGAACTTAAAGACTGCAAAGTAGGGTTCACCAGCCTCAAGGTGGGGTCTGGAGTCCTCCCAGAACTATGACTGATCTCCAGAGTACAGGGATCAGTTCCTCCGGAGGAAATGACAGCTTCCAGCGTGGACTCTATGGCATCACATACCCACTGAACTTCCTCCTCCACTCCCAAAGCGCCGCCCTCTCCAGGCACTGCCCTCAGTTCTCCAGGAATTTTCCAAGCCAGAGTTGGCACCTCTACTTGCAAGAGAACATAGGAGGGATGAGGCAACCTCTATGGGTTTCAAATTAGATTGTGATAGGCTTTGGATGCAACAGTCCTGCCCTCAGCACTTATCATATGCTGAACTACAGGGAAGCTTCCATGGAGAGTTAAAAAGAAATATGGGATAAAATGGCATACACACCCTATCAATGTTTCTGACCATCAACCAGGTGCTACTTGTGTGAATGACAAAACCAGACTGCCCATCTACTGGTCAAGGGTCTCTACATACTCAAGGGACTCCCCGGGTATGGGTAAAGATGAGTAAAACAACTAGGAGAAGCCCTGCTCCCCCTTAACAATGTCTTGATAGGGGCTAAGTATGTTCTGGCAGATATGGAATGCTGAGAGCTGCTGTCACTCGACAGGAAAAGGGGGTGGGGTCAACTGGCTGACGCCCTTGAGAGTTTATGGAAACCCCAAACATGGACCAGGAGGACTGAGACTTCCAAACTGGTCCCTCTTAAAATCCCTCAGAGCTGGTCTACTCTTAAGTTACCCATGTTGAGATTTATTTTCCCAATGAAAATTTTGGGCGTGCTTTCAATGGTACCCGGGTAAATTCTGATGGCAAGAAACCCCTCTTAGGCTGTTTCCACACTGACTTTCCCCCCTCTGCCTTTGCTTCCAAATGGGAACGCTGTTGGAGGGAGCACCCACACGACATTATCCTCTAATAGTCACCTTCCAGATTTCTCCTGCCCTCATCAGTACTCTTTACCTTCAACATCCTATACTATGATCTTTTTGGAAACCACACAGTCTAAGCTGTTAGCACGCCACCCAGATGAGAAAGGTCATCTTTTCAAAGGGCTTAACATTTTTTTAGTAATTGCTACTACACTATAATGCTGATTTCTTTTAACACCCCACCCCCGCCCCGTGTAAAGTTGGCAGGAGGCTCCCGTGTGGATTCTCTAATGCCAATGTGAATGCCTCGGCACTTGCAGCAGCAAGTGCTGCAGTACAGAGAGTCCTTCTGCGTGGATGCAGACCCTCAAACCTGTGTTGCCTCTCAACAATGACAACTCCCAAAATGAATTTCATGGTGCTTAAATTAAATTAATTGCAAACGCTTTTGTCCTGGGATCAGTTGCCAAAGACGGCCCAAATTCCAGAGACCCAAAATACATCCCAGCATTCAGTAAATGTTCAGAATGTAGCTATTATTACTACCCCCCAACACTCACACACACACACACAAAGGCAGGGGTTGTGACTCAGTGGTAACTGCATCTTGGCATGCAGAAGGTCCAAGGTTCAATCCCTGGCATCTCCAGTTGGAAGGATCAGGTAAGAGGTGCTGTGAAAGACCTCAGTCTGAGACCCTGGCGAGCCGCTGCCGTTCGGCATAGACAATACTGACGTTGACCAAGGGTCTGAAACAGTAGAAGGCAGCTTCGTGTGTTCACAGATAAGCACGTGGAGCTGGATTACATTTTCCAAAGGGTGAATGGAACTCTCTGCCTCCTCCCCCCCCCCTCACTGCAGCCCACTCATTTGCATGAAATGCTGCTCGTGGCAGACAGGGACCCAGAGGAAGGACACAAGGGGGGGTTCACAGCAGGAAGGGGGAATCAGTGGAAACTGCCAATTTAACTCCATAGAGATCCCTTTTGGGGCAATGCACAGAGTTCTGGTCACTAGGTGTGCTTCTTCGTCTGCCTCTTCCCTCAGGGGTGCATCCTAGAGTCACACAAAAACCCAATTTCCAGGTGCATTTCGCCAGACAGCAGCCATTCGTTTGAACCAGGCTCAGATCCCAACGAGACTTTAGTCTCCCCAAAAGTCCATGGACCCACCCCCCTCTCAGCCTCCATTCCCCACCGGGGAAAGGGAAACATGAAGGACCTACCTCAAAGGATTGTTGTGCGGATGGATCGGGACGATGAAGTGCACAGTGCAATACAAACAGTCCGTGGAACGGTTCTCTCTCCCCCTCCTCCCCCAAATTGCCACGCTTCTCTCGTCACCCCTCCAACTCTTCCTTCTCTCTAGGCGCCCTCCCTTCTCCTGGGCCAGATCCTTCCTCCGTCCTTCCAGTTTGCTCTGTATTTCCCTCTGTTTCTCCAATAAGAACGACGGGCGCGTCTCCTTGTATCACGTATTTATTTTTAATACTGTCCTTGAAGTGAAGAATAAAGTTACCCTCTAAATTATAGGGGGGGAATAACAAGGAGTGGGCTGTTGATTTTGTCGCCGAGTTTCTGTTCTCTAATAATAACTTACAAGGTTGCTTTGGTGAGTGGGGTGAATTCCCCCCACTCCATGGGTTAATCAGAAGAAGAAAAGATTGGATTTATACCCTGCCCTTCACTACCCGAAGGAGTCTCAGAGCGGCTTACAATCCCCTTCCCTTCCCCCTCCCCACAACAGACACCCTGTGAGGTGGGTGGGACTGAGAGAGCTCTGAGAGAACTGCCCTTGAGAGGGCAGCTCTGAAAGAACTTATGACTGATCCAAGGTCACACCAGCAGGTGCACGTGGAGGAGTGGGGGATCAAACCTGGTTAATCAGTGGGAGCCATGCCTTTGATACCTCCTTCTTGAGTGTTAAAGTTCTCCCAGATGATGATCAAACCGGATGGTTGGAGGAGGTGGGGGAAAACAGAAGCCATGCGAGGATGACGGAGGAAAGGGAAGCAGATAGTCCCACATGGATGCTCCGTTGCTGCTGCAAACGTTTCTGCAATAAACAGAGAATCGCCGCCACACAGATGCAGCCCTAGAATCTGCCCTGTACTGACTTGGCTCAGGTGGCCCAAAGCCCTCCAAGTGTTCTTTGGCAAGGCTTCACAAAAACTGTACGGCTCAGACGCTGCCAGAGAAAACTCATCAGACAGCCTCCAGATGGGTTTGCTGAAGGGAAGGGTCGCTAGATC